TGTATCAGTTATAAAACTATAGTTACATAATTATAAAACTAACATCAGTTTTATTCAGCCTGCAAAACTAGTTACTTAGTCTCCAAATTCTGTTTCCTGTCTTTAGTCATGTAAAGTAGTTTGATCTCTCTGAGGTTGTTTCCCAGCCATATGTAAATTGTATCTTTTTTTGGTGCCGAAACCCAGGAATGAACCAGGTAAATTGTATCTTAATCTGCCTGTTTACCAGGAAGGGGATTGTGCCCCTCCTGAATTGTTGTTGTTGTTGTGTGCTATCGGACTCTTAGCGACCCTATGTACATCCCTAAACTCTGCTCTGTCCTGTGCCAATCGCACTGTCTCCAATACACCTATCCCGATTACCTCAGTCACTGAATCAATCCACCTCATAGGGGGCCTTCCCCTCCTGCACTGTCCCTCCACCCTCCCAAGCATGATGTCCCTCTCCAAGGACCTTTCCCTCCTTACAACATGTCCAAAGTATGTTAGACGGAGCCTTAGAATCCTTGCCTCCAAGGATCAGCCTGGTTTGACCCTTTCCAGGATGAATCTGTTTTCCTAGCAGTCCATGGTACCCTCAATACTCTTCTCCAGCAACACAGCTCAAAAGCATCAATTCTATTATCCTCTTTAGTCATTGTCCAGCTCTCTGATGCATAACAAGTGATAGCAAAGACCATGGCCTGTATCAGATGCACCTTAGTCTCCAAAGAGACACCATTGCTCTTCAGTACTTTGAAGAGGTCCCTCCTGAATTACTAGTAGTTAAATATGAACTATTCTTTTCAGATGTAAAGATTACCTTTTTTTTTTACTGACAAAAGAACATTGTTGGATGAGCTAGGGTTTCACCCTAGTATAAAACCCAGTGACCACTCCCAGACAGGGAGGCAGTCTTAGAGGTGACTCGCTGTCTTCCAGATCTGCATAATAAAGTGCATTTATGGATATTGCAATCCGTTTGTTTTATTGGCGACTAACTACAGAAAGAACCCCTTGAGTTCAGTAAAAAACATGTCCTTAAAACATGTCCAAATTATGTCAGACGAAGCTTCAGAATCCTTACCTGCAAGAAGCAGCCTGGTTTCACCCTCTATAGGACAAACCTGTTTGTTCTTCTAGCAGTCCATGGTATATTCAGCACTCTTCTCCAGCACCAAAGCTCAAAGGCATCAATTCTCCTTTTGTCATCCCTAGTCATTGCCCAGCTTTCTGACACAGCATATAATTACAAAGACCATGGCCCGAATTAGGTGTACCTTAGTCTCCAGACTGACGTCTGTTGCAGACTGAGGCTAAGGTAATTTTATATTTATTAATGAGACATACATCCAGGAATGAGATAGAACAGAGAGCATAAAACACCGGCAGCAGTTCTCAACTGAAGACCCCAAGTCATGTCTCTGTATTTATTGATAATTAGGGGAAGCAAATCATAAACGGAATTCCTTGTAAATGAAGCCAAATTTTTCTCTATTGTCAACCTAATGCTCTAGCTCAGGAAGTATTTCACAGGAAGTAACACTCCCTCTGCAGGGGGACCCCAGCTGTCTCCCGTCTGCAGGGAACAAAAAGCTCATTTTCTGGGATCTGCCACAAGAGAAATCCTAACTTTTTTAAAAAAAAAAATTATTATTTTGGGTGCGTGTGTCTGTGTACCGTCAGATCAGATCTGACTGGGACAGGAGGAGATTGTCCCTCCTTTCCCGGCAGAGCATCTGGTGGATTCGAACCATGCACCTCTGGGATTGCAGTGTAGCTTCTTGCCACTAGGCCACCAGAGCTCCCCAAATCCTAACTTCTAAATCTGTAATTCCTTCAATTCCTGAACAAGAGTTTTCATGTAGTATTTGGTATAAAGTTTGGCTACCCATAGACGTCGTTGCTCGTCAGTACTTTGGAGAGGTCCCTGACAGCAGACAATGCAGGCAGCAGCCTGGTCATGAGCTTGGGCGTTCACTATCCTGCCTCTAAGGAGCACGCTGGTTGCTCTTCCTCCAAGACAGACTTGTTTGTTCTTCTGGCCGTCCGTGGGATATTCAGTACTCTCCTCCAGCACCACGACTCAAAGGCATGGGTTCTCCTTTGGCCTTCCTTACGCATCCAACTTTCAGATGCATGGAAGCAATTGAAAGTAGGTCTATCTGTGCATTACTGATGAGGTGTCAGGAAGCTCTCTGCTGGCTTAGTGGGTAAGGAGCTGCACTGCCAATCCCAGAGGCATATGATTCGAATCCACCAGCCGCTCCACAAGAGAAAGATGGCCGGTCTCCTCCGGTGGAATTTACTGCCTCTGAAAACCTGCTGGGGGGTCAGCTGTGGGTCAGTTCCGACTTGATGACACACAGCAACAACTGTTATGGTTTTTAAATTTTTTTTTTTTAAGTTTTACACTGGTTTTACCTACAAAGTTCGTGTACATTGCCCCTCACACAGGATCCCACCCCTCCCTCCACCCATAGGGTGGAACAATTATGTTGTAAAAACAAAACCCAAAGTCTGAACAGTTCTAAGTGTAGTTTGTCATAACTTGAACACGTCATCGATTGAGACAGCCTGTGGCTGCATGAATGAATCACCATTTAATTTCTTTTCTTCCTTTTTTTTTTACCATCGAGTAGAATCTGATTGGCACAAGAGGAGGTTGCCCCTCCTTCTCCAGCAGAGCATCTGGTGGATTCAGACCATGCACCTTCAGGATTGAAGCACAGCTTCTTGCCACGAGGCCACCAGAGCTTCCTTACCGTTTCATTTCTTATGACTCAGTGATATTCCACTCTGTGCAGGCACCACATTTTTATTCATCCGTTCATCCTCGGGTGGACATTTGGGCTGTTGACACCTTTTGAATTTTATGAGGACGGGCTTGGGTGTGGGCAGAAAGTTTCATTGATCTTACAAGACGCCGCCAGACCGCAAGTCAGACAGACACTCCCGAGGGTCACTCCCAAGTAGCTAACACGGTCAACTGCCAACCAAAAGTTTGCAGGTCTGAATCCACTAAGAGGTGCCTCGGAAGAAAGGCCTGGTGCTCTGCTTTGGGAAAATACCAATCATTGAAAGAAAACACAGGATGCACCCTTACCCACACGGGGTTGCGGTTGCTGGTTTTGGCTGAGATAAAGAAGCTTCTCCGAGGGAGCCGAGCTGATTGTGGTAACTCTGCCCACAGCGCTGTGCTAGAACCCATCAGAGCCCTGTTCTCCCTCTCCTTGCCTCCCTACTGCCTTGTCCACGTGGTCCAAGCTGGCTCCCTCTGCCACTTCTTAAATCGAATGGAAGTTAGAATGAGGGCTCAGTTGATGGCTTTTAACACAAGAGAAGGAGGGGGAAAGAGGGAAGGCTTCTCTTTCAAGGACTCTTTGTCCCCCCTGCTCTTGAGTCATCTGGACTCACAGAGACCCCTGTGAAACAGAGCAGAACTGCCCTCTAGGGTACCCAAGGCTGTAATCTTGGGGGGAGCCCCGGTGGTGCACTGGCTAAGCACTCAGATACTAACTAGAAGGTCAGTGGTTCAAACCTACCAGCTAGTTGTTCTGTGAGGGAAAGATGCGGCAATCGGCATCTGTAAAAATTCCAGCCCACCTCGCCTCACCTCTGGTTTCATCACTTGTTCTCTGCCGAAAGCATCGAGGGGAATGCTCTTCCCCTAGATCCTTACATGGCTCCCTCTTTCCCCTTCTTCAAGTCTTTGCTTCCAGATCATCTCAGTGAATCATCCCTCTGCTTTCCCCATTTGAAACCTCAATTTTCAACACTCCCAACCTTTCCTTTTCATTTCCCCACTGCCCTATTCACCATCTGACATGCCGTGGGTTTGAGTTCTTTATTTTGTTTCCTGCCTCTCTGCTCCGCCACAGAGGTCATCTGTTTTGCTCACTGCCAGGTCTAGAACTGTTCTTGGCACAGGTCAGTTCTTTTGTTTTGTTTTGTTCTTATTATTTTTATGTGTGTATCGTCAAATCAAGTCTGACTGGTACAGGAGGAGAGTGTCCCTCCTTCTTCAGCAGAACATCTGATGGATTCAAACTGTGCACCTCTGGGATCGCAGTCCAGCTTCTTGCCACTAGGCCACCAGAGCTCGCCAAGGCACAGGTCAGTTTGCTGAATGAATGAATGAGTGGATGAATAAACGGAAGACTTGGTGACATTCATCATGGGGCTGACGGCTAGAGTTACCAGCAGGCTCCTTAGAGGCTGAGCTGAGAAGGACTTGAATGGCCAGGGAGGCCTTAGGAGGTACAAAGGGCTAATGCTGCCGACTGCAAACCAAAAGGTTGGGGACTCAGAGTCACCCAGAGGTATGTCGGAAGAAAGGCCTGGCAATCTGCTTCGGAAAAGCTGAAACCACTATGGAGCGGAGTTGATTGACACACACGGGAGTGTCATGAGTTGCAACTGTCTTGACGGCAACTGGTTTGAAGGTGCCAGAGCCGCTGGAAGCGGTGGCAGCTTGCCAGGGCTGAGGGCTGGCACCTGGGGCCACAGGCTTGTCAGGCCTCCCTGCCATGTGCTCTGCCCCTTGGGGCCTGTGGGGTGGGGTGGCCTCGGCCCCAGGGAGAGAAAGGGTGACTGGTGGGGTGGAAGCAGGCCTGGGGCATTGTGCTCAGATGACTGGGAGGCCAAGTGGCCACTTGTGAAGGCTGGCTTGAGGCAGGCCTTTGTGCCTAAATATACATGTGGGGAGACTTTAAGGGGCCGAGGAGGCCAGAACATGCTTTTCTTTCTTTCTTTTTTCTTTTATTTGTTTTTTAACCTGCTTTTCTGGGCACGTGATCTGGGCCAGGTTTTCTGACAGAACAGACTCAAGGGCGGGCAGGTGGCACACTCTCTGGTCCCCCACCTGGGACTTGCTGAGATGTGTCTGTGGCTCAGTCTATCCTCACAGCCCCTGCTGGCCTGGGCCTGCTGGGATTCGGTCATGTTTTCCATAGGCCAAAGGGCCCCATGGGAGGGCTGCAGTGTGATCTTCTCTCCATCCACCCGGCCAGGGACCCCCTTCAAGGGGCTGGCACCAGCTGGCAGTAAGGGGCAGGATCGGGGTTCAGCAGGTCCTGGGAGGCAGGGATGGGGGAGGGAGAGAAAGGAATGATTATTTGGAGGTGAGGATGGCAGGGCGACAGAATGACAGAGAAAGACCACATCAGAGACTGTGAGATACTCAGAGGGAAGGGAGGATGCAGCTGGAAGAGCCACAGAAGTTTCCAGAAGAGCAAACAAAAGATGTAGACATGCAGTGACAGAGAAGGGAGAGACTCATAAATGGAGAGAGACAGACAGGGACCAGAAGGAACAAAGAAATGTAAAGAGAAAGAGCTGAGGAGTGAACCGTTACAAAGACACAGAAACCCTTTGTGGACCAACCGTCAGACAGGAAACAATCATGTCTTTATCCAAACAACATGCGCCCTGTATCAGACTTATTTCATTAGTTTTTTTGTGCGTGTTTTATGCACACACATGTGATTTCCAAAGGCTCATTATGTGTGAAAATATATTTGTTTGCTTGGTCGACTAAAACACAATAAAAAATTTTGGAAAGAAGAAAAAAAGAAGACAAAGAAATGGAGAGATAATTATTTGTAAACTTTCACTTAATTAAAGAATGCTGTTTCCTTAATATGTGCATACGCCTTTGTTACGTGCTGTCGAGTCAGTGATGACTCATAGACCTTATGAACAGCTCTGAACCCTGCCCTTGTCCTGGGCCAGTCTCACTGCCTCGCCACACTTGCCCCCATTGCCACAGCCACTGTGCCAGTCATCCAGGGTCTTCCTCTCCTGCACTGACCCTCCAACCTTCCAAACATAATGCCATTCTCCAAGGACTGGTCCCTCCTGGCCATGTGCCCAAAATATGACAGATGGAGTTTCATAATTCTTATCTACAAGGAGCAACCTCGTTTCACCTTCTCCAAGACAGACCTGTTTGTTCTCTTGGCAGTCCATGGTATGTTCAATACTCTTCTCCAGCCCCACAACTCAAAAGGCATAGATTCTTCTGTTATCATTAGTCATTGTCCAGCTCTCTGATGCATAGTAAGTAATTGCGAAGACCATGGCCTAGCTCAGGCGCACCTTAGTCTCTAGACTGAAATTGTTGCTCCTTTGCACTGTGGAGATGTCTCTAACAGTAGACTTTCCCAAAGCAATTTGCCTTTTGATTTCCTGGTGCCAATAGTATTGATGATGGACCCAGGCAAGATGAAATTTTTAACAACTGTAATCTCTTTTCCATTCATCATGATGCTGCCAATTGGCCCGGTGGTGATAATTATCTTTGTTTTCTTGATGTTGAGATGCAATTTATATTGAAGACTGTAGTCCTTGACCTGCAGCAAACGCTTCTCAGTTTTTGTGAGCAAGATTGTGTCACCTGCATAATGTTGTTGGTGAGTCTTCCTCCAATTTTTCCTCATAAAGTTCAGAATCCTGAATGATCTGTTCTGCATATAGATTGAAAAGCTGTGGAGACAGGCCACATCCCTAACACTCCTTTTTTGATTTTGAACCGTGCAGTGTTTACTTACTCTGTTCTGACTATTGTTTCCTGGTCCAAGTATAGTTTTCGCATGAGCACAGTCAAGTGCTCTGGGATTCCCATTCTTCTCAAGGTTAGTCACAATTTGTTGTGATCCACACAGTCAAATGTTTTTGCATAGTCAATAAAACACAAATAGATATTCTTCTGGTACTCTCTGCTTTTAGTCAAGATCCATCTGACATTGTCAATAATGCTTCTATAAGGTGCCGTGACCTCTTCTGAACCCACCTTGTATTTCTGGCAGTTCTCTGTCTATGGTCCTGTCGTTTTTGGATAATCTTCAGCAAGATTTTGCTTGTGTGTGATTTTAGTGATATTGTTCAAGAATTTCCACACTTTGCTGGATCACTTTTTTTTTTGAATGAGAATAAATATAGATCTCCTCTAGTCAGTTGGCCAAGTAGCTGTCCTCCCGATTTTTTTTTTTGCACAACCTGGTGAGCACACCCAGGGCTGCATCTACTTGTTGGTGGAATATGCATTTGAAAAGGCTGTATACTCTATAAGACTATAATGATTAAGTAGTTTCTTTAAAACTTTGAAGTTTAAGTAAAAAAAATGTGCTGTGGGTGGAAGGAAAAATGTGGATGGAGGGGGAGAAAGGGAGAGAGAAACCAACCCCGTAGTGAGACTCCTAAGTGTGGGACAGAGAAGCACATAGACAGACAGACGGAGACAGGGCAAATAGGAGGGTTGGGGAGGTAATGATGTGAGACCCAGGCCCAGAAGTGGCAGCTCTGGTGGCTCTGGCTCTGGCCTTCTGTGATTTAAGACTCTGACTCCCTCTTACAAAGGAAGAAACTACAATCTTGAGAGGAGAGAGATTTATGAGGCTGTGACTGGGGAACCAGAGGAGTGAGGCCAGTGCCCCCCACCTCCCCTCCGACCTAGACTCTCAGCTCCACAGGTCCCCGTCCCCATACCTCCCGGCTCCACACCTGGTAATGATGGTTCTCTGGTTCCGGCTGCAGGGGTGCGGGCAGAGGTGGGTGCTGCCGAGAAAGAGCAAGATGAGTCAGACCCCTGGTCCCTCCGCTCTCCCCCGCCTTCCGCCCTTTGACCTTTGGCATGCTGACAGCCCTAGCTCTGAATTTCCCATTGCACATGGCCATCTCGGGGAAAACCGCCCCTGTTGTCGAGTGGACGCTCAAATTAATCAGAAGCGTGGCCCATGGAGCCCACCCGCTGCCCGGGAGCAGAAAGGAGCCGAGGTCTGAAGCTGCAGACCTGCAGAACCTGTGTGGGGCCCGCTGGGGCAGTTCTGCTCAGCCGCCAGGGTCATGATGAATTGGAATCGACGCTACAGCAGGAGATTTGCCTTTTGCCAGTAAGTTTCTGATTTGATGTCATTTGAATAGCTTCTAATCTGATCTAAAAGTAATGGCTGCTGGGTGACAAGTGCTTCTCCACGAGAAAAATCAAACCACCTGCAGCCACCACCTTCAGAAACAAGTGCTGCTCGGAGGTTGGTGAATTTTGTCAACCAGGAGTGTAAACGTGCCCCTTGACTGTGGGTTCGAGTGTCTGAAGGCACCTTGCAAACTCCGAGGGGAGGTGTCTGTGAGAAGTAGGCTTTTAGGAAGGGGTGCACTTACCGTGGCTGGGTTTGTGGGCCTCGTGTCCCTGAGGGGGGACACCAGGAGCATGGGGGATGGCATCACCTCGTAGATGTTGTTGTCATCTCCTGAAGCAAGGGACAAGGGGTTGTACTGCCTGGCAGATGGCCCGTAAGGTCACCCTGGTGATCTCATGCCACTCATTCAACAAATTTTCTTACAGACCCCTCTGTGTGCCCAGCCTCGTGCTTGGGACAGCTGCGTACCCAGGATCACTGTGCTGGTCTTCACAGCCCAGGAAGGATGTCCTTGTAAAGACAGAGGTGCACTTGCCCTAAGCCGTGGTAGCTTCATTTGCATCTTGCACTTGTGGAAGTTCTGAGGTGTACTCCCCCTCATCACCGCACACCCCCTCCACCCCAGACCACACCACCACCTCCACAAACTGACCAGTCCCCTTGGTAGGCCTCAGGTACCATATCTGCACCATTGCTGTCCAAACCTATCTTAGGCTGCATTGGGTGAATCTGCTGCAGAAACCCTGGAAAGTGCTAGCGAGCAAGGAAGTCACCTTGAGGACTGAGGTGCCGTGGTTTTTTCAGCTGCCTCATATGCATGCAGAAGCTGGATGGTTAATAAGAAAGACCCGAGACTGTTGTTGTTAAGGGCTGCCAAGTTGAGTATTCTTAGTGACCCTTTGAACGAAAGTGCTGGGCCCTGTCCTGTCCTGTCCCATCCTTGTCATCTCTGATATACTTGAGCCTCTGGCCTTGAAATTGCGGTTTTGGCAGAGGATGTCACGTGTCCCTTGGGCTGCGGAGAGGAGATGCTATAATGTGTCTGGGGGCAGGTGCCGCCAGAGTGGCCATTAGGAGTAAAGATGGTGAGACGGGCCTCATTCACTGTGAGGATGTTGTCAGGAGGGACCCGAGCCTGGACAAGGACGTCATGCTTGGAAAAGCAGAGGGTCCCCGAAGGAAAGGAGGACTCTCAATGTGATGGACTGACACACCAATCGCAGCAATGGCCTTAAATGCCACAGATTTTGTGTGGATGGTACAGGATCGGACCTGTTGTTTATAGGGTTGCTATGAGTCGTACACAACTTGGTGGTGGTACACAACAACAACAACAACAACAACATCTTTTTATTGTACACGAGGTCACTAGGAGTTGCAGCTGCCTTGACCTCTGCTGGCACAGTCTGTAGGGAGTTGCACCGCTAACCCAAAGGCCAACAGGCCTCTGCTGGATCGAATCTCAGCAGTGGTTCTGCAGGATATAGATGGACAATCTCTTCCTATGCAATTTATCACCTTGGAAATCTGCTGACGGGTGAGCTGTGAGTCACTTCTGACTTGACACCAATGAGAATAAGTGAGTGAATAATAAGGCGAAAGACAGATCTGTCCCTAGATAATGACCAGCCAGAGTGAGTAGGAGCTTGGAGGGCAGCCTAGCTGAGCTGAGAATTATGAGGAAGTCAGGGAGAGCTTCCTGGAGGAAGGGATTCCAGAATGCAACGTCAAGAGAGGAAACAGCTCATGCAGAGGTCTAGTTGGACAAGTGTGTGCATGTGTGTATGTGTGTTAGTACTTTCTGTGTTTGATGAACTATGTTTTATTTGTCTGGATAAGAAATTAACTGTTCTGAGTGGTGCAGACTATCTGTGATTGGCTAGTAACTTATAGGTTACCAGTTCAAACTTAGCCATTCCAGAACTGTGGAAGAACCAGGCCTGGTGATCTGCTCCCAAAGAGATGTCAGTAAACCTAACAGTCAACAAGTTCTGCCCAAACTAATCACAGAAACAAATGGGAAACAATGGATAAAATATGAAGATATATGGGCATTGAAGCCAAGGAAGACAATGGGAACCAGGTCATGAAGGGGCTTGAGAATCATGTTTGGAGCTTGTACTTTGTTTCAAAGGTACTGCAGAGCCGTGGAGGAGAGTTGAGCAGAGGAGGGACAGGGCTGGAACACTAGAAGGAGGTGAGCCTAGAGGCTAGAGAGAATTGAGGAGCCCAGGGCTGGAGCCTGGGCTTGATAATGGTGTGTGGAGAACTGAACCCTCTGCTGGAGAATGATGGGGTGCAGGGGGTGAGGAACAGAGTCAGAAGCAGAGACTGCAGGGGAGGGAGCCTCAGGTATGCCCAGATGAAGAAATGGCAGAGGATAAGTCACTGAGAAGAAGGGAACAGGCTTAGGGTGGGCACTGAGGTGCTCAGGTTGGTGCTGGGAGACTGGGGACTCTAGAGAAGTGTAGGGGTGTCTGTGACTTGGAGGCCCTCTGAATAGGAAAGAACCAGGGTCTGTGGTTATGGGGAGAAGGAACCTTTTGGGGGGACTGGGTAGGTAGTTAGTGTTGGGGTCCCCACTTACTAGTATTATGATCCAAGTTCAGCTCTGGTTTCTCTGGGTGGGTCATCCTGGGGGCAGAGAGAACTTCAAATTAATAACTATTCATTGCAGGTGGGTGGAGAGAGGTCCAGAGAAGATGGGAAACCCACCAGGTCCCAGAGAGCAAGGTGAGTCTGCTTCAGCATTGATGTTTCAGCCTTGAAAGATCCCACCGCATTGTGTCGTCTAAAATCTCCATCCTCGTCTCCCACAGTCCCCAGCTCTTGTCTCACAATCCCCAGCTCCACGCTCGCAAATATTCTCCCATAACCCTCCCCCACCCAACCCTTCCTCACTTGCCCCAGCTGCCTGGACACAATGCTGCTAGACTCTGCCTCAAATATCACCATTTACACAGACTACCCAGAGGAGTTTGCTCCATGCATCTGCTTCACTGGTTTTCTTACCTTTTCTCTTTTTTTCTACCTTCTATTCCTATATTCCTGTCTTGTTGAGTGTTTTTGCCATAAAAGGGTATTGAATTTGGCCAAATGCCTTTTCTGTGTTGATTGATGTGATCACGTATTCTTTTCTCCAATGTATGAGGTGTCTGCCTATGGAAAGATCTCCAGCCTTGGAAACCCTAGGGAGCAGTTATGCTCAGGCAAGCCGGGTTGTCCCGAGTCAGAATGGGCTCTGCAGCAGTGACTGCTTGGTAAGCTTGCTTACATTGCTTGGTTTTCTAATCAAGCTTGTGTGCTTGGGATAACTTACATTTCATTGTGGTGTATAATTCTTTTTTAAATAAAACTTTTATACTGGTTTATTTACAAAGTTTGTGGTGTGTTTTTTATAATGTACTTTTTAAAATTATTAATTTTAATGAAAGTTTACAGAGACTTAGGATTTCCATTCATTCATTGTTGCACTTTGCTCCCTGCCTACTCCCTCTGCCCTAATTCGCTCTTCTCTTTGAAAAGTAAGTCTTTCAGTGTTATACAATCCCTCCCCCAAGTCCACTCCACTATGCAGCCTTCGTTCTAGACTCCTGTCATGACAATAATATCTAATCATATATCCCTTTTAAACAGTTCTCTCCCTCACCTCTTTCAATGTGGTGTATAATTCTTGCACCAAGTCTTTGAGTTCACTTTGTTGAGTATTTTTGCTTCTGTATTTATTTATAAGGGATTTTGCCTGCAGTTTTCTCTTGTAACGTGGTGTTTTTTTCTTTCTTCTTGTAATGTTTTAATTTGGTTTTGCTATTACACAAAATAGCAACTGTCTGGGTGGTGTCCAAATCCCTTGTCAGTGATCCTAATCCCTGACAAATCCATGAGATTAAGAATGTGAAGTACTAGCAAGACTAGCAAGTAGGTGCTACGTTGTGACTAGAAAACGTATTTATTCATTTTCTAGCCAAACAACAGACAAACCTATAAAGTGATCAGCAACCCCAGGGAGGTTAATTAGCCATACAAGAGCTGAAGTCTGCATTTGTTCAGGGATGAAGCATGCAAGGCAGACAGGAAGAAAGAAGGATGAAGGGAAGTGCACTACCTGAGGTGGAATTGGGAGGGATGTGCCTTCTTCACAAGGATTGTAATTCATGGCATGAAACAATGAGCACAAAATGTTGAATGGAAGGAAGACCCCCGATGAGATGGATTGATTCAGTTACTGGGATAATGGGGGGTGGTGGTGTAGGTGTGTTGGAGACAATAAGGATTGGCAAGGGCTAGGACAGGGTTTAGGTATGTTGTACATGGGGTCACTATGAGTTGCAGGCAGCTCGATGGCACATAACAAAAACAACAAAGATGTTAATGGAGACCTCTGGTGGCCTAATGGGTCAGGAGTAGGGTTGCCAACCCAAAGCATTATAGAATGATGGGCAGTCACCTCATGCATGGTTTATAGCCACAGAAAACCCGCTGGAGAGAATACCCCGTCGCTTTATGAATCAGGGTTAAATCTCTCTCAGGGAGGAGTGATAGGGAATGGCAAAGGACACACTGACAAAGGAGATTAATCAGAACTGGTTTTGACAAGAACTGTGGCAATGGGACAATTAAAACAGACTTTCGGGGGGGGGAAAGGAGGAACGAACTGGGGAGGGGGTAGAGAAAATGGTGCAACAATGAATGAATGGAAACCCCAAATCTCTAAATGTTCATTAAAATTAATAAAATAAAATAAAAAAAAGAAAGAAAACCCACTGGAGGGTCCGCTATGAGTCTATTCTAGCTTCAAGGCCCATGACCACAATCAAATGTTACTGAGACAGGACTAGAGAAATTAAGTCATGATGTAGTTGTCCCTCGTGCAGTGATTAGCTATAATCTGATCAGCCAATGAGCACGTTGGGTACGTGAGTGATGTCAGAAGTAGTGGCCACTCTTGGCGCATAATGACGCCATAGAGGCGGGACCAGGGTGAGACCCACCCACTAAACTTTGAACTCTCCATGGCATCTTCTCATTGGCTCGGACTCCAGCCTCAAGGGCCACTCAGAGAACGAGGCGGTAAATAGGGCCTCGCCTCCATCGTACCCGGCTTGGCCTCCATGTTTTCTGCGATGACGCACATCTGTCTCTTTGGGGTGTAACTTAATAATAACTCTATCTTTATTATTTTATCCTAAAGAGAAAAGAAAAAGAGATAAAAGGAGAGAGGAAGAAACAACAGAGAGTGAAGAAAATCCAGAGAGAGGGGGTCCCCCAGAGCTGGCACCCCCAGCGCGGATGTCCAGCGTCCTAACCGGTAAGAGAACAAATTCCTGTCTTTTAAACCCTTCCACTGTGGTGTGTCTGCTATAACAGATGACAAAGGCAATTGCTGCAGGTGGTTTGGTTTTATTCGGCCCTATACGTGTTTGCAGATCCTGCCCGACCCATTAGCAGTTTTTGTGACGATTAGACGAGATGATAAACCTGAAAATTATAATATATTCGTGAATATATTCGTAGCATAACATATAAGTGACTCTCATGGTCACCCTGGTAGGATGTCTGCGTAGGAGTTCTGTTTCATCTTGGAATGCGCTGGGATGTTCTGGAACATTCTGTGTGTCTCAGGTCTCGTCCCTTGGATTGCTGATGGTGAATTTTCCACCAGAGACTTGGTGATATTGCCCAGAACATATCTTATCAAGCTTGTAAGGAGTAAAATGGTGGGGTGAACAGGGAGCCCTGGGAACTGTTAGGGCGCAAACTTAGTTACTGGGAGCCACGTTGGCAAACCACGAGGGGAGCATGTACGCTGACATGAAGCTGCCATTGAGGAAAACAGGATTAAGAAGTATATGGAGCGTTTTTTGTTTTCTTGTTTTTTTAAAAAAACGAATCCCTGGATCCAGCCATACCTGAAGCTCATCAGTTATGTTAAACACAACAAAGCAAAATCTCCTCTATTTGTCAAGTCAGAGGGTTTTGTTTTTGTTGTTTTAAATGAGAGTTAGAAGTTATCTTTCCCTTGTATTTCTAATACAAGATGGAAAGATTCTTTTCATGTTAGGAGTCCCAAGAATTGAAGAGATCGTGTATGTCTTAGACTCTGTGATCTGTGCAAGGACGGCTGGAGCCCAGAAAGGAGGACAAGACAGAGGGAAGGGGAAGGCCCAGGACTCCCTTACCTGTGGTTCCGGCTCTTCCAGCCTTTCATTATCAGGAAATAGGCAAAGCAGCCAATGAGGAGGGCCCCAGCAGCGAGAGAGCCAATGACGATGGCCACCATGATGCCCATGTTCACGGGAATGTGGGTCTTGGACAGCTGCTCATGCTTTTCTGAGAAAGAGAAAGGACCTTGTAATGACTTAGGAGGGTGTCGCCTTCCACTGCCCCAGTGACTACCTATCCTGCCTTAGTGATTGTCCCTCATACACCAGTGACTGCCCATCCTGCCCCAGTGATTACTCATCCTGCCCCAGTGACTGCCTTTCCTTCCCTAGTGATTACCCATCCTGCCCCCAGTGATTGCCCATCCTGCCCCAGTGACTGCCCATCCTGCCCCAGTGACTGCCCACCCTGCCCCAGTGATTGCCCATCCTGCCCCAGTGACTGCCCGTCCTGCCCCAGTGACTGCCCGTCCTGCCCCAGAGATTACCCATCCTGCCCCAGTGATTACCCATTCGGCCCCAGTGACTACCCATCCCCAGTGATTACCCGTCCTGCCCCAGTGACTGCCCATCCGGCCTTAGTACTGCCCATCCTGCCCCAGTGATTACCCGTCCTGCCTCATTAAGCACCTGCAAGGCTTTTTATATCCCTATTTGTATGTTTGCTTTCTCCCAATCAAAACAGAACTTCTCCCAGAGTAGACAGACTTGCCCTAGAGCTGGAGCCCTGAATTCAGAGTCCTAGTTTCCTGGACTGTTAGAAAATAAATTTCTGTTTGTTAAAGCCACCTCCTGTTGCTTTTCTCTTTGAGCAGCTCTTGTTGTTAAGTGCCGTTGAGTTGCTTGCGACTCATAGTGACCCTATGTACAACAGCTCTGAACCCAGCTCTATTCTGTGCCAACCTCATTGTCTCTGACACACCTACTCCCATTACCTCAGTCACTGAATCGATCCATCTCATCGAGGGTTTTTCCTCTCTTGCACAGTCCCTCCACCCTCCCAAACATGATGTCCCTGTCCAAGGACTGGTCCCTTCTTGCAACATGCCCAGAGTATGTCAGATGAAACTCCAGAATCCTTGACTCTTAAGAAGCAGCCCGGGTTCACCCTCTCCAGCCGAACCTGTTTGTTCTAGCAGTCCATGGTATATTCAACACTCTTCTCCAGCACACAGCTCAAAGGCATCAATTCTTCTCCTATCATCCCTAGTCATTGTCCAGTTCTCTGATGGATAACACACAATTGTGAAGACTATGGCCAGCCTGACGTCATTGCTCTTTAGTACTCTGGAGAGGTCCCTGATGGCTGACTTTCCCAATGCAATGAATCTCTTGATTTCTTTGCTGCTGGTACCAAGGGTGTTGATTATGGAGCCAAACAAGCTAAAACTCTTAACAATCTCGATATCTTCATCCCATAATGATGCTGCCAATTAGAGAACTCAATTTTACTATCCTTGTCTTCAAGAAGCAACCTGATTGCTCTTCCTCCAAGATAGACTTGTTCTTTTGGCAATTTATGGGATATTCTGTACTTTGTCCAACACAACAGCTCAAGGGCATAGATTCTTCTGTTATCCTTACTCCGCGTGGAACTTACAGGTGTACATGAAGCAATTGAAAATGCCTTGGCTTGGCACCTTCATCTTTAAAACTCACATGCTCACCTTTTACGTTTTACTTTGGAGAGGTCCTTGACAGCAGCTTTTCCCAAGGCAATATGTCTTTTGTTTGCTTGCATGCTACTACCATGAGTCATAGTTGACAATACATAACAACAACAAAGAGAATTAAGACAGGGAGCTTGGGGAGAGGAGAATGAAAAGGTGACAAACCTGTGAGTCATTGTCCCAGTTTTACTATTGACCCAACTAGAGGGCTCACACAATCTGTAAGATGTTCTGAGTACCTCAATGGAGTATGGGGTGACCTTAGTGGGTATCCACGCCCAACAAGCATATAATCCATTTAAGGGTTATTTGTTGCCATCAAGTTGCTTCTGATTATCCGAGACCTTATGTCCAACACAACTAAACACCAACAGGTCCTGTGTCGTCCTCCCCATCATCTGCATGTTCAAGTTCATCTTTGCAGCTTCCATACCAACCCCTCTCACTGTGGGTCGCCTGTGCCTTCATGGTCTCATTTCCCCAAACATGATGATGTCTTCTCACAGTTGGTTCCTTCCTGATGATGGGCACAAAGCAAGCTGGTGTGTATACAGTGTTGAATTGGAAACTGATTTGCTTGGTAAACTTGCAGCCCAGTCACCATAACATGTTAAAAAAAAATGTCCTCTGGAGGTACATAGGGTCTCTATGAGTTGGAATTCTCAGCATCTGTCTTGGTTTTTAATGTGTGCCAGGATTGATTTTTCTGGATGTTGCAAACTGTTACTGTTCACAGCAGATAACCAAAAACCTGCCACTTTGAATGCACACTGAGGTACCTTGGAAGAAAGGCCTGGTGATCGGTTTCCAAAAGATTATAGCCATTGAAAATGCCACCAAGCATGGTTCTCTTAACACCTGTGTGGGGGTGCATCAGAACTGATTCCACTGCATTTTCATATTTGATGATGAACCAAGCAAAGTCTTCAACACTGGAGCACTAATGTTGAACAAGAATGATAATAAATCTACATCCTGATTTTCACAAGGGACAGCAGGTTCCCCGAGTTCTCTGCTCCCCTCTTCATCCTATTTGACCCTGTGGGCCCTTGATTTCTAGAAAACAGCCCACATGCTGGGCCAGGCCAGTCCCCATTCTTTCTCCATCTCTGCCTCCCTCTCTCCAGCTCCCCTTGTCTCCATCCTTGCATTTTGGAAGAAGAGATTCCAGATATGCACGGCAACCTGGGCTGGAACCCTGTTTAGCCTGGCAGTGAGGACCCTGGAGGGAGCACCAAGAACGGTGATGGCACCCTCTGGAGCGGAAGGCACGCCATGCCTTTCCCGCTGGGCTCCCATTCACTTGTTCACCCCGTGCTGCACGTGGCCCTGTTCTGGGTGCACAGAAAGCTGAGCCTCCTAAAACTGACACCTGGGGCCTGCTTGTGGGGTTGCCCAAGGTGACCCACAAGTCGAGTCAATCAAAGGAAGTTCCTGGGGAAATTGGTTCTAACTACTCACCTATTAACCAAAACCTTTCAAATTCACCCAGTGGCATATGGAAGAAAGGTGTGATGATCTGTTTTGGAATACCACAGCCACTGGAACCTTGTGAGTGCATGCAGTTCTTCTCTTGACACACAGGGGTCGTTGTGAGTTGGAATCTGCTTGGTGGCAGTTGGTTTTCTGTCCTCACAGTCTGAGCCTTGGCTCCTGTGTCTTCTGGCACTGGCCCCTAGGGTGCCTTTTCTTATGCTCCTGCTGAGCCAGGCTGCCCCTTTGGATTCCTGCCACAGGCCCCTTGACCAGGCTCTGCCCAGATCCCTCCCTTGGCTCCTGTTCCCTGGTATTAGAGCATCCACTCATATCCTTCAAGCCTTCCCAGGCACCCAATCCGATACCCCAAATCTTTTCCAGACTGATTGGTTCCAACTCATGGTGACCCAGTGTGTACCAGAGAGGAACTGTGCTCCCTCGCTGTATACTCAGCTTTATGCAGATAACATGCACCTACATGCTTTTGCCAACTAAGAAAAACCCTTGCTTGCACTCTATGCGCATTCTGTGAGTGCACGTTGTGTGTGTATAGAGTGTTATTTGTGTAGATATGGCAATGCTGTAATCCCTGTATTTTCCCACAGCATCTGCCACTGTTCAAATGATCGTGTGTGAGAGAGATATCATTTAGTTGACATCTATCTTCCTCAGTGGTCTGTGAGTTTTGTGAGAATGGAGGAAGGCTGTTTGGGTCACTACTAGTGCTTTCCAGTAAAAAGTGGTCACAGAGAAGGGACATGGGCAGAGTTTGCTGAAGTCATGAATAAAGGAGCAGTGTATGGTTTGCAGTGAGTCAGTGGTTGAGTGAAGGTTTACAGAGCAAATCAGGTTCTCGTATACATTTTGTTTTACGACTTTGATGACAGTCTCCACATCCACATGGTAACAACACTCTTCCCACTTCCACCCTGTGATGCTTGTTTCAGTCACACTTCCAACCTCTTCTACTTGTTTTCTGAGCAAATGCGGTCCTTTTCATCTCGTGTGGCTGGTTGTTCTAAGGACCCAGTGCCTCCCTGGTGCTATTGGTCACCTTACAGGCTTGTATGTTGTTTGGATGAAAGTTGAGTTATGGGAATGAAATCACCTCATGGGCATGAAAGGGTTTGAAAGCTCATAACAACAGCCAACAAGGGCCTCAGTCTCAGGGGTCCCATCAGTCTCTGAGACCAGTAAACCTAGTATTTTATGGTTTAGTGCTTGTTATCTGCCAGCCTTTCCTATACTAACAGATATCATCTTCACAGGGGCTCTGTGAGGTGGCTGGTATTATGAGACCCATTTTACAGAAGGGGAAGATAAGACACACAGACGTTATGATTTATGCAGGATCACATAAAGACCGAAGCCAAACCCAAGTCGACTCTGACAGTGACAGTGACCCTCCATTGGATTTAAGGGAAGAGAGCTGCCCGTCTTTCTCCCATGGACACAAGGTAGATTTGAACTGCTGACCTTTCAGTTAGCAGCTCAAAATGTAACTCACTGCACCGCCAGGGCTCCTCTTAGGGTCCCGTAGTTGTAAAGGCATTCACCAGGAGGCTGTAGCAAAGCAAGTGGGCCAAGGAGGGCCCTGATGTGGAGACATCTGAGCAGAGACTGGAGGGAGAGGAGCGAAGGAGAAGTCATGTAGTTTCTAGGGGAAAAGTTCTCAGCAGAAGGAACAGCAGGTGCAAAAGCCCCGTGGCCAGACTAGCCTGCTGCATTCTGAGCACAGACAACACTGGGCTGGTTCTCCCACATGGCGACACCATGTGTTCCCGAGTGGAACTGCACCCATTTGTTCTGAAGCAGGGGATTTCATGGAAATAGATCCATCCCCAGGCCTTTCTTCTGAGATGCCTCTCAGTCAGCCTGAATGTCTGTCCTTTCAGTTGCCACATCTGTTAACTGTGTGCACTCCTGAGGACTCTGAGCATGCAGTAGGCACTCACTAAATACTTGATTGTTAACACAGAAAGAAGTCTATGAGCCAGTGTTTCTTTAGGTTCTTGATTCAAATATGGCAGGTGAGCCTTCAGTAGATATTTTGTTCACTAATGACTAGATAGGAGAATTTAGGAACAGTATTCTGTATCCTCACAGCCCAGAACACAGTTGTTGTTGTTGTTGTTGTTGATTGCCGTCGAGCTGAGCACGACTCAGTGACCTTATGAACAAAAGGCCTGAAGCCCCTCGACAACTGTCGACATTTATCAAAGTTCATAGAGTTACCAGAGGCATGTTGTTTAGGTAGTGGATGCCACTCCTGCCTCCAGAACACAGTAGGTGCTCAATATATGTTGATGGATGAATGGAAAAAATCAGCAAGACAGTGTTTGTGCCTGGTGCAGAGTAGAGGACAGTATGTGTTGATGGACAGGTGAGATGGTGGTTGAGCTTGGAACACAGTAGGTGCTCACTATGTGCTAACTGGATGGATGAATGAAAAGGATCAGCCTGGAATACAGTAGGTAACACTAAGTGGTGATGGATGAATGAGAAAATCAGCAAGGTCATGTTTGCTTTGAACACAGTAGGTGCTCGGGGTGTGTTGATGGAAGTGAGGTGGGTGAGATGGTGGTTGGGCGTGGAACACAGTAGGTGCGCAGTACTTGATGGATAAGTGAGGGTCATTCGGATGGTGCTTGCACAGTATGTTTGCTGCCCACTTCCTCACCCCTAACACTCACCCATCACCTGGACTGTGGTCTTGGCCTTCATGGTCCAGGAGGGGTTGATGGTGACGACCACCTGGTAGAGGCCACTGTCGTTGGGCTGGATGTGGCGCAGCAGCATGGAGCCGTTGGCGAGGCCAACGATGTCACGCTGCTTCATGGCGCTGCCGTCCCTCTGGGGCCGCTTCAGGCCTGGAATGTAGGAGAACAGCATGGTGCCTCCATCAGTCTTCTCCCCCTGGTACCAGTTGAAGTCCTGGAAGTTGCCTGGGATACCTTGGACAGACAGGAGGAGGTCTTGGTTCTTTAGAGGCTCCTCTGGAATCTTCTGGATGTGGAGGGCTGCCTGGGAGTTCTGGAGGGTCCAGAGGGCCAGGACTGAGGCTGTGGGGAGATAAGGCATGTCTGAGATCGGGTCTTAGTGTTCCCTTCCCTAAAGCTCTCTGAGTACCTCTCAGTACTGGGATTGATTAGTGATGTCTGTGCGGGGTGAGGTGTGGAGAACACAGGCTCGAATGCCATCCCGTTGACCCTGAAGGTTCTCTGCTCCAAGGTGCTGTGTGGCCTGCCTCTAGACATGTGGACTCTGAATTCATTCATTCAGCCAATACTTGTTGGCTACCATCCACTCAGCCCTGACTTGTGATGACTGTATGCACAATGAAATGAAAGGCCCCCAGTCCTACACCAGCCCTCTGAGCAAGTGTGGAATGGACAGCTAAACTTGTGAGCCAGAGGACTTTCTCTGGCTAATTGTTGGAATCAGATCACCAGACCTTTCTTCCTTGTGCCTGTGGTCTGATAGCTGGTCTTGTACCATATCTAATGTATACGTCTGACTACTGTCTGTGCTTGTGGTTGTTGTGTTCCATTGAGTCAGAACTGACTCACAGCTGATCCCCCATTGGGTTTTCAGAGCTGGTTAATCTCAGGGGAGGAGCATCTAGTGGATTCAAACTGTGCGCTTTTGTGTTAGCAGTGCAGCTCCTTAGCACTAGGCCACCAGAGCTTCCTTGGCAAAGTAGAGAGTCAGAAAACAAAACGAAACAAAACAGCCCTAAGGAGATGGGTTGACACAGTGATAGCAACACTGGGCTCAAAACCAGAGGTTGTGGGGTACAGGGCTCAGCAGCGTTTGTACAGAGGTGGGGACCATCTGGGTGTCACCAGATGCCAACAATGTGCTTACAAATATCCCGGGATTTTAGGCACTGGGAATCCAGAAGGGAACCAGACACAGAGAAATCCTGCCCTTGGGGTCCTGTCCTTCTGGAAGATTCCTTAGATAAAATGGGGAAAGTGCTGTCATATTACTTCCTGCTCCCTTTCCCCCACCCCATTTAAGAATTTCATCTTCCTTTCTAACTCTTCCCTCCTCGTAAAGAGAACTCGAGTCTCAGGGATGAGCCCTGTCTTCTCCCCTCAGCCCTGGGCTACCTTCCTCCTTACCTGAGAGCAGGAGTCCCTTTGAGACACAGCCCTGGGCTCTGGTGGGAATCGCCATCCTGGGGTGCTGTGATGATGCCCCGGGGACTCCTGCTGGTCAACGAGGGACAGCAGGGCTGGGCCCTGGCTGGTGAAATGGGCCAGTCAGTGGGTGCTCCGGGGGCACCTCTGGGACATGGCACAGCCTCGGCACCCCCTTTTCCACCAAGACTCCAGCTGAGCTCCCAGGGTTGGGAGCTCAGACACTGGTTGAACCAGTTTCCCAGGGCGACTGGGAACTTCCTGGGACTCCTCCCTTTACCCTCAGTGTCTGCTTCCCACTCAGTATGGCTGCCACTGGCGACAGCAGGGATGGGAGCACCACTGGGGACAGCCTTGGGATTGACAGACAGACCCCCACATGTAGTTTAAAGAATAAGGTGTGCTTGAGCCACGTCATGGTCTATCCAGTTGGTTTCTCTGCGTCTGAAAGTTGGATGAGTATGACAGAAGAGTCAAAGCTTTTGAATTATGGTTCTGGAGAAGAGCACTGTCAGGTACCACTGATCTTGATTCCAACTCCCAGCGGCCCCGTGGACACAGAAGGAAGCTCTACCCATTCTTGCTCCATCCTCCCCATCTCTGTGGTTCTCGAGCTCATTGTGGCCACCACAGTGTCCATCCATCTCCTTGAAGGTCTTCCTCTTTCTAGTGCACTCTCTACTTTACCCTGGTAGCAGCAGGCAAGAAATAAAAAGAAGAGTTGCATTGGGGAAGTCTGCTGTGGAAGACAGCTCCAAAGTTCTAAAGAGCAAGGACGTCAGCATAAAGACTAAGGTGCACCTTGTCCAGGCCATGGTCTTTTCAGTTGCTTCCTATGTACCTGAAAGTTGGACAGTGAGTAAGAATGGCAGGAGAAGAAGGGATGCCTTTGAGTTGTGGTGTTGGATAGGAGGACCGGGTATCCCATGGACTGCCAAAAGAACGAGCAGTGCTGTCTTGGAGGGAGTGTCACCAGGGTGCTCCTTAGTGGCAAGGATTGTGAAACTTCTTCTCATTTACTTTGGGCATGTTGTCAGGAGGGGCTAGAGTTTTAATAAAGGTAGAGAAGATTAGCAAATGATAGGAAGACTCAAGAAAATGGACTGAGGCCATGTCACACTGGGCTTGAGCATGAAGACGGGGCAGGATGGGACAAGGTTCAGATCTGCTGTTTGTAGGGTCACTAAGTTGTCGACTTGATAGCACTTAACAACTGTAAACAACTACTGTGTGACCTAATCAAACAACCACCACCCACAACCATTCCCATTTCCCAGATGAGGAAACTGAGGCTCAGGTGGCAGAGGTGTGCTGTGACCCATGCCTGGCTTACTCCAAAGCTCTCCATGTGGTGTCTTCAAAACAGCTCTGTACTTGCTCCTTCATTGCTAGGCACACTTTCCTGTTAGGTGGGCCTGGGGACACAGTGATGACTATGACCCTTCCTGCCCTGTCCTCAAGTCCTGGAGAGGGACTCACTGACCCATTCCCAGACAAGGATGATTCAGTGACCAGGACTGGGATGGAGGAGCCTGAGGGGACGTCTGACCCAGCCTGAGATCAGGGAGGCCTTCCTGGAGGAGAAGACTTGAAGACTGAGATCTGGAGATGGATTATTAATGAGGTTACTGATGAGGTGGGTGGGCTGAGATAGACCCAGCAGAGCCAACAGCACATGCTAAAGCTTGGTGGTTGAGCTAGCAACCAAGGTGCAAATCCCTAGCTGGGGGGAGGAGCAGGCATGGCCGAAGACATGCAGGCAAAGAGACTGAGCCTGGCCATGGCCTTTGCTGGGATGGAGCTTGGATGATGAAGGGTTCTAGGGACATGATGCCTGATAGAGAGGGTTAGCCATGTGTGGCCCTTTAAACCTACATTTTTATTCACTAACTCATTTTTTCTAATGGGCTCTTTAAAAGAATATTTTTTAAAAAATTGTTATAGACTGTAACTCAAAACTCAAACTCATGTCTGTGTAATTGGGACCGACTCATAGGTGACCTTGATGCATGAATCACATAGCAGGTGATTGGTCCGTCTCTTGTGGAGCCGCAGATGGATTTGAACCACCTCACAGGCGCCACCTTGGGTTTGGCAGTGCAGCTCTCTACCAACTACACCACCACAAATCCATATAAACACATAGGTATAACTTTTATTTTGGCAGGTCATGGTATATCCAATACTCTTTTTAAACTTCACAGTTTAAAAGCACTGATTCTTCTTCTATCTTCCTCATTCACAGTCCATCTTTTAGATGCGTACCATGGCTTAGATCAAGTGTGCACACCTTAGTCTTTAAATTGCTATCCTGCTCTTTAGCTCAGTTGTCATGAGTCATAGTTGACTCAGTGGTAAAATATGTGTGTTACACAATAACAACAGTGTGTATATCCCACAGCACATCAAGATCTGTATCATATTGAGGGCAGTGTATGTGTCACACACGTCACACCACTTGCCACATCAGCATTCTCATTTACTGGAATCACCTTGTGCAATCACCACGCACCCTCACTGCCAACTTTCCCATCAGTGAGACAAGAACCTCTTTGTTAAATACGCACCTAAGTGGATCAGTAGAACTTGCATTAAAAATGTAATTCCACACACTCAGCCGACCAGCCAAGCCTGCTGTCATCAGTATGATTGCACTCACCGTGACCCCCTGGGTCACAGAGTAGAGCTGAACTCTGTGGGGTTTTCTTGGCTCTGGTGGTGTAGTGCATTAATGTGTTGCACTGTTAACCTAAAGGTTGGCGGTACTAGTGCACCATCTGCTCTAAGGCAGAAGAAGGGGGCAGTTGACTCATGTAAAGATTTACAGCTTCCACAGCTCAGTGGAGGGCTGCCCTGAGCTGGAACTGGCTTCATGGCAGCAGGGTCTGTATTTCCTTTAATCTTTATGGAAGCAGATTGCCAGGCCTTTCTCCTGCAGTGCTCTTGGTTAAATTTGAACTAGCAACCTTTTGGCTAATAGCTAAGGACAGAGCCCCTCGGGAACCTGGTCCGCAAACCACACATTTTCAAGTCAGGCCTGGCTTACCAAGATCCTCTGAAAACCCACCTCATAGCAACCCCATAGACAGAGACACCCGCGGACATAACTCCTTATGGAAGCAGGTTGACACGGCTTTTCTGTGGAGCAGCTCTGGAGAATGGGGACAGTATCCCCTTGGCGTGGAGTGGAGCCAGGATGTGCCATATGCAAGAAATAATACAGCAGGCAGCAGGTGATTTCTGTTACTGGTGGTATTATTACTTGTCTTGTTGCCTTGTCTTTGCATTTGACTCCCCTTGGCAGTGCACACCATGACTCTGCTTAAAGAAACTGTAGCTTCATTGAAAGGATTGTCCAGTGTCGCATATTCCCAGCACTGCCCAAACCTGGAAGTCCCCCTGTGATCTGCCCTTGGTCCTTCTTGCTTCATTAGAACCGTCACTAGAACTTTTGTTTTCTTCTTGCCCTCACGCAGTGAGAACAGAGGTCAGAAGCGGGACCTGCCCTATGAGGAAGGTACACAGATCCCAGAGAAGTTGCCGCTGTCTGCCCGAGAGAGCTGGTTAGGAACCCAGCAGTTATCTCCAAGGCTAACTTAACTGTGGAGGGTCGGAGGATCAAGATGGGCTGTAAGCAGATTGCTCAAATTGGGATTTAGCCTAGTAGGAGTGGAGTGTGCAGCAGGGTTGCAGGGAATTGGAAGAGGAGAGTTTGGGGACCAGACAGATTCTGGTCAATTTCCACTGCTTATATGGTGAGACTTGGTCTCTCAGAGTTTGGCATGTTATCAGGAGCGCCTGGCCTCTAGAAAGGACATGACACCTGGAAGAGAAGAGAGTGAATGGAGGAGAAGACCCCCAGTGAGATGACTGAGCAGTGACCGTGAGGCTGGGCTCACGCACAGCAGAGGTGTGAGGAGGGTGCCTGGGTGCTCAGGGCTTCAAATCTGCTGCGTGGATTTACTGCGTCGGAGCTGACCAAATCGCCCAGCAACAACTACCTGGATCAAAGGCTTGGGAACTGCTGGCTTTTCTGGATTTTCCAGTTGCTGGTCTCTCTCGTTCTTGTATGATGTCCTTGATTCCTTTACATTATTAAAAGAACAAGGGAAACAACAAAACATTGTCCTGGAGTCCAGTCTCACTCATGGGTTTACTTCTTGTCAGCGTGGACCCGTGCTCCAAGGGGTTTTCAGTGACTCATTTTTCAGAAGACGATTGCCAGACCTTTCCCAGCCTTTCTTTTTCAGAAGGCATTTCTGGGTGGACTCAAACCGACAGCCTTTTGTCTAGCAGCCTAGTCCAGTCAGGGTATGCACCGACCAGGGACTCCAGTGAAAAGGGGAAAGAGGGCGGAGGATGTTTGTGTGTGTGTGTAATCAGAGTCACACAATTTGATGAGTGGAGGGAGCGGTGTGGATAAAGGAAATGAGAAAGCTTTGGTGTGACAAAACAATGTATACTAACTTAGTAAACCAGTATAAAATTAAAAAAATTTTTTTCCTTGTTGTGTATCATCGAGTAAGATCCAATTGGCACAGGAGGAGATTGCCGCTCCTCCTCAGCAGAGCATCTGGTGGATTTGAACCACACACCTTGGGGATTGCAGCACAGCTGCTTGCCACTAGGTCACCAGAGTTCCCTTAAAAATTGATTTTTAAATAATGAAAAAAGTGGAAAGAAATCAAAACCAAACAGAAAAACAAAAAGCTAACACAGACATAAGGCTCTGAGGTACTGCAGATTACAAATCCTGGGGACTTTGAGGCTGTAAACCTTAATAGGAGTGTTAGTGGACAAAGGGTCCTTCCCATAGTCACCAGTTGGAGATGAGGTAAAATTGCTTTTCTTTAATATGGTTTATTAACAGGTCTGGGAGGCAGCACGTTCCTTCTCCATGACTACCTCGTTTCTGTCACACAGCAGGTTACAGTCAAACAATCTGTAGATCCGGTCTGTTAATCTGTATGTCATTATTTTGTGTCCAGTTTTATGGCTCCTTCCCCATTCTTATCTTACTGAAATAATGACTTCACT